GAGGGAAGGCGGCCTGGAGAGAGATGCAAAGACGCTCGATTGAGAAGAGCAACATGCTGTATGGCGTTATCGACGAGAGCGCCGGCTTTTATAACAATCCTGTGGATGTGGCTGCCAGGTAGGTTTATTTTGTTCTTTTTTCGCTGTAGGGGAATGAAAGAGGTAAAGGAATCGGGGAGAATGTAGTGTGAAGGTGAGTTTTTATCCCTTCTGTTGGAGTGAGGTTTATGATGCATTATTAATTTTCTTTATTTCTGTCGTTAGGCAAAATCGAACGACAATTTCAAATGACTTTTATAGCTCCAGTTAAAGTACATATCAACATGCAATTAAATTTATGGGAATTCTGAATTCAAAATATCGTTGTTAGAAAATGGTGTTTAAATTAATTGAGAACAAATCTAGGGACAACGTGCACACGATGAAATTTAAGTCCGTTTCGCATATCTGTTGCAGGTCCCGGATGAACGTCGTTTTCCGGGTGGGCGAAGGCGGGAAAGACGACCTCGAGGCGAACTTCATCTCACAGGCTGCTGCCCAAGGACTTCTTTCTCTCAAGGGACACAGGTATATCAAATCTCTTAACGTGTTAAATATATATGTTAAATACACCATGCAATACATTTTTCTCGTGTATATAAGCTTATAATTATTTCGATAGGGTTGATGTAACTGGATAGAATTCGGTAATGATTTCTGTTTATATCCTTCGTCAGGTCGGTTGGTGGAATCCGCGCCTCGATTTACAATGCTATCACCAGCGATGACGTCAGACGCTTGTGCGAATTCATGAGGACTTTTCTCAAAGCAAACAAAGTGTGAGACGCAACTCTCGCCAAAAGAAATCACGATCTGTCCAGATTTTATTAAGATTTAGTTGTTGATGGATTAGATAATATTCGGTATAAGATTTTAAAAAAATAACGTGACCTGTGATGACATACTTCGACAGTATAGAGGGACCACTTAACATGCCATCTCCAGTCTTCATTTCTTCACAAATATACATCGATGCATATTTATTGTATTCAGCGACATGTCTCATCAGTGTAAGTCAAGTGCAACATAAGGTTGAACCTTTCTCAACTGTCTAGGCGTTTCTTGTATAGAAGTACACATGGTGACGTTCGTTCTGCCAATGTTTATATGTTGTGGAAATGTTTATCCGTAAGCATATCAGACTTGGCAGACATTTGTCTTTTAAAAGTGGAACTAGCGACTTCTAGATATTGTTGATAAACGTTAACCAGACAATGATGCATTTCAGAGCAATCGCATATATCCACGAAATTTATATTCAGTATACGGCATGTTATACTACTGACTCCATATACAGATAGTAAAATGAACTGAAAGAACACTGGTATTTTTTTCAACCAAACCTTTAACGTGTATTTGCTATTAAATTTGTTAAAATCACCTTCAGTTTAAAGTAAACAATGTTAAAGTCAAGGAAAAAACCCTCGAAACCGGAAGAATTTCAAAATTTTATTACACAAAAAATACAGAGTGAGGTTTGTGAACGTGGAAATTACAGGATAATAAAAAAAAACTGCCTGGAAATAAAGATGAGAACAAGAAGAACAAAAGAGACACGGAAAATGCCTGAAAATAATAACAAAACACAAAGAACGGAAAAAGAGAAGGACGCCGTTACTTCCACCGTGCGCCCCTAGCTCCGGTTCCCCTTACACACTACATCGTTCTGCGGAATGCGCTCGAACTTCGCCGCATTCACGCCCAGATTTCTGAGTTTGCTCCTGCACCGCAACATGAGTCTCGGCTGCGGGTGCCTCGTGCGGGTCAGCGCCCACGCCCAGTCCACCCGCAGCCCGGGGAAGGACGTGCAGGAGTAGAGGCACAGGAGGGAGGTGTAGTCTGTGTAGGCCACCCACACGCTGAGCGGCGGCACTGGGGGGGGGGGAGAGGGAGAGTGTAGGAGGGAGCCTGGAGGTGTGAGATGGTGCTGCGGTGTTGCGCCATGAGTGTGATCAATATCCGTGAAAAAATATATATCTTTAGTACCATGAACAAAAAGCCTGGATGTAATCAGAATCCACCATAAAACAATCAGGTACCATGAATGAATAAAACATGAAGGCAATCAAAGAAAATGAAGAGATGGGAAGTGAATAAATACACGAAATAACGAAAGGAAACATTATAATAAGACCTAGTGATACACTGACCGACAAAGCGTAGGCTAGTGACGTCACTGAGGTAAACCATATGCCAACTACAGACAGTCAGAAACGACTCATGACATGCCTTTGGAGAAACGTTCGGTTATATGGAACTTATTGAGTCATGGTATGAGAGCTGTTTTGTTAGTAATTATTTCTGTATAGTTGTTTAACGATTCACACATGTTGCTGTAGAAAAGGCTATGAATGAGAATGACTATCTTCACAGCGTATTAGATGTGTTTAACCAGTTTGGATTCCATGGTAATCAGAAATACATTAATGAAATACAGCCTATTTCTGATAAAGTAAAGTCA